TTTATTTCTACGTTTATCAAATTCGTGATTTTAATTGGTCAATCAACAAATGGCATGGGTTAAAATTTTGTGTTCCCAGAACAGGTCTCTCCTGTTCGATTTCCCAATACAATATATATAATTAATACGCATTTTTTTTTAAAAGAATTATAAATGTCGTTATCAACACCAGGTAGACTTGCCTCAAGCACACCATCTCATCTTTTAGTCAATTTAGATCAAATTGAAATGGTTAGATCTAGGATGATACAAATAAATGATGCTCAAGGTGATTTCATTCAAAATGTTCAAGCCACTGATGAACTAAGTAATTTCAATTGGTAGTTCCCTTTTTTTGTTTTGACTTATTAGTTATTAATGAATTAATGACTAATTTTTAATTTCATCTCATTATTGATTAAATAATAATAATAATAATAATAATAATAATAATAATAATAAAAGGGTTGAATATTTAAATAAATTTAATATATTTCTTTCGAAGCATACTGGTCTTTCAAACAATTTTATAGAAACAAATTTTCGTAATATAATGTTATATCCAAAGGAAGCACCACCATTGCAATCCGAATCTACATTTGCTACTTTATTACGTACAAAACAAATACCGGAGATTGAGCAATTAGAAGATGAAATCAAAAATGATATTGCAATTGAAGAAGGTTTAGATAATTATGAGAAAGAGGCAATTGAGAAATCAGATGAAAACAAATTAGCGAATTTATTAGATGAATGGGTTAAAAAATATGAAGAGCATGGTAATGTTGCTGCTGTTGCTTCTGAATATTATGAAAATAATATAGGAGAAATAATAAATACTAAAAAAAGATTGGAGGATTCGGATGAAAAAATTGAAGAATTTGGTGATGGGATAAATGATATAACATTAGAAAGTGTCTTAGCATACATTTCAAGTGGTATAGAAAAATGACGGTTAATATCAAGTCAAATAAATAATATATATATAATATACAAAAAAAAAATTTAAAATAATATAATTATAATTATATTATATAAAAAATCTCAATAAATTGTAAATCGTTGAGATAAATTAACAAGTTATGCTAATAAAACTGAGGTTTTCCTCTCGATAGAGCAAATCTAGAGCCTGAAGCTATATAGCCTTGTAAATATTTTTTATCAGATCCAATGCTTGTGATGTTCTTTTATCTGATATTCTCGAGACAGCATTCCACTATCTACGAGCACTTTCCCATTTCCGATATTAAGTATAAAAATAAAAATTTCAAAAAAATTTTTCTATCGAAGATTAATACCATTTTTTTCATCTTTGGTGCAATAAATAGCTGAAAGGACCCTGGATGTCTTGGGGATCCTAAAATCATGCGGTGAAAATGGATTTTTGATAATATACACAGATTCTCTTCATGAATATTATAAAAATATTGGTTTAATTGTTTAATCTCACGTAATAAACTCTGGATCAGTTATAGCGATAATAGTATTTGATTGTACAATTTTTTGTGCTAATCCATATATTATACTACTTATTGATTTAAAATTCTGATTTTTTACAAATATAATGCTCTTAATTGATGTTTTAATTTTGACTCTGTCGCCATTATATTTATTACCAATGTTGTGACTTACTGAAAATATTCTGTGCGTTCTAATATTAATATCATACCGAAATATCCGAAACAGTGTAATCATGTGATCAATTTCTGACCAATAATTCCTTCATGGAGATCAATTGAATTAATCTCTGTCTTCATATTTAATGACAGAAGAAATTATTTCTTTCACTAATAACATATCTCCTATTATTATTTCAACTGATGATACCTTAGCTGTACCAAAAAAAAAAATTGGCGGGATCTCTAGCAAAAACCGATTTTGGGGCACCCTGTCCAAAATTGAGTTTTTGCATAATAATAATGTACATCTATATCATAAGGATTATAACTGGTGGGAGATTTACTTAGTACAATGATGAGATTAGTTCATATGGGACGTGGACAGCAAAAAAGGCCGAAAATCTTTATATACTTGTGGATAAATTACATAATTTTTCAAAAATTTAAAAATTTGAAGTGAAAATAAATAAAAGAATGTATGCATGAATAAATTGGCCAATTAACCAATTAATCAGTAAAAATTGAATTAACTTCTCTCTAATCTATATATTAATCCTGCTCTTTTAAAATTCTCTTAAAACCAAATGGTTCGAATTTTCTACCAGTACCTTCGTAAAACTTGTTATTAAATTCAACCCTAGATTCAAAACAAAATTTATTTCATTATTATTCAACAATGCTTTTTTAAAATGATTGATTTGTAATTAATACCATAGAACAAAAAACATACCAATGTAAACGTAAAGCATGTAAAAATGCAGATAATCCTTCCATGAATATTAATATACCAACTGTTAAAGTAAACCAAAAAAGTGAAGCTACAGTAATTAAAATTACTCCAAATACACCTTGGTAATTTAAAGCAGATTTTAATGTCATATCCCATAGTACAGATGATAATTCTTTTTTGATTTTTTAAAAATATTAATCAATTATTATTATTAAACCAATATTTTTGTTGTTATTAAGGCTAAACAAAATAAACATTATAACTTACGAGCATGCGCTAAACTTAAAGCCCATAATCGTAAATAACTTGCGGTATTAGAAATACAACCAAGGCAAAATTCTATAGTATGTATAACTTGATGAATCATAATTTCACCAAAATCAAACTCTTCCTCTTCACGCATCTCCTCTGTCACCACAGTGCCACCATACTCATTATTTTCATCAGTTGATACACGTGTTGCATCAGTTTGTGGATTATGATAGCCTTGCGCTCTAATTTTCTTATGATCATGTCTCATTATAAGAGGTTTTGTTAATAGCATCCAAGGCACGCAAATTAATGCGATTATTAATAGGATAAATTGAATTTTATCCTGTATTATCAAACATGAAATAAATAATAAATATACATATATAAGATTGATTAATACGAAGGAAAAATAAATAATTATCACTTACTTGACCAGGATATAGTTGATCTTTAGCTGCAACTTTACCAGGTTGTAAAAACATATATATCAACATATTCAATAAACCTGGTGGGCTATTTCTTATAGTTTGACCTGATTCATCAGTTTCCCACCAATTAATTGTCCATTTGTAAATAATGGCAAACACAAGATATCCAAAAATTGATTGCATAAATAACATTTGTGGCAAAAATTCTGTCCAAATACTCAAGGTTTTTTTAAAATATGTATAATTGTAGACGGTAAGAACTATTCCAAAACTCATATGAATTACACCTAAAATTATTGACATTTTCATTTTATATGAATTAGTAAACAACAAATAATTATCTGCGCCATGCCAACTTGGATCAACACCGAATGGATAAACTCCTGTCTGTATCACTTTGTAGCTTCCATCCGTGTCATTTTTGATCCATTCAAATCCAGGTTTTGCCAATTTTAATGATAATGAAAATATATCATTGTACATTAATCCAGTATACATTGAAAACAGACCCATTAAAAGAATGATGTAACGACCTCCAAAATACATTTCAAAAAACTAAAATGATAAAATTTTAAATAAATATTTTTTAAATAAATAAATAATACAAAAAAATTAATTACCTCTCCTTTTCCATTTCTTTCTAATCGTTTTTCAAATATAATTAAATATAAAGCTCCTAGGGTAACAAGTGTTCCATGTCCCAAATCACCAAACATTACAGCAAATAAGAATGGAAAGGTGATTATGGTGAATAATCCAGGGTTGACTTCACGATATTTTGCAATGCCATAGGCATCGACAATTTCTTGAAATCCTGCAGTAAACTTATTAACATGATGGAAGGTAGGTGGCTCTTTAGTTGTACGAAGTACATTAAGAATTGAAGGCACCGTAGAACGTGATTGTTCCTAATTAAAATAATCAAAAAAAATTTCAATAATAATAAAAAAAAAGGGATTTTATTATTATTATTATTATTATTATTATTATTATTAACACTTTACAGTTGCAGTTCTCAAGGCATTATAGATTTGATCAATATCATTGGTTGGACACCATCCTTCGGCAATCAAACATTTTCTAGTGCCATCATAATTAAACAAATTCATTGCATGATAAATTGCCTTTTCTTTTTTAACAATAGTAAACCAAGTTGATAAATTTTCTGCGACTTTTAATAATTCAGTTCTACGAGCATTATTTGTACTTTGTAGAACAGAATTCAGATCCTCAATGCTTGTAGTAATTTCTAATATATTTTGACGTCTTTGATCAGGACTATTATCTACAGGATAAAGTGTAGCTCCCAATGATTCAGAAATTTTTTTGATTTTATTTATTATTTGTTGACCATGAGAAAAGATGATAAAAACATTTTTTTCTAAAATCTCATCTGTTTCTGGATCAGTAATTGGTTCATCAATTTCTGCATGATTTATATAAAAATTGCCACGTAATGCACGCCAAAGAATTCGTTCAAATATTTGCATTTTGGATCTTAATATAACGCCTGTTACAAACCTAACGTCATCATCATACAAATAATATATAAAATTTTGAATAAATTTAAACTCAAAAGAATTTTCAAAATGCATAATAATTAACAAACGAACCTAAGATTCACATGATTAAACCCTAAAAAGTCACCCTGTTCAACATCAGGATGGTCTAACAACGGTGTTGTAGGTTCATCTAATGATTGTCGTATGTCTTGACGATTTTCTGCCTGATAAATAAATAGAATATTTAATAAATTATAAAATTATTATTTAAGGACATTATCAAAATTATTTATTCTTCAACTGAAGATTTAAACAACTCACTTCTTCAAAAAATACTGCTGTCTCTTGTAATACATGTCTAGCCTCAGTCAGTTCTAGGTATCTTTTTTGTAAAGTTTCATATGAGCTATTCATTTGTATGATACGTTGTTCATGTTGATTAACTGTCTCTTCAAGTTCATCAAGTTCTTGAGCATTCCTTGCACGAGCTTCATATATATCACCAGTCAAAGGACGAATAGGAATATCAGTTTTTGCAATTTGTGCATTAAAATATCCTATTATCAATTCATAAAATAGATGAGATAATGAATAGAATGCAATATAATAAGAATTAAGACATTTTAAAAAAGTTTTTTGGTGAATAGTTATCAGTTTTATTTCTATCATAATAATAATAAGCTTACGAAGTCGTCTTTCTATTTCATCAAAACGTCTAATTTCATTTACAAAAGCTCTTTGAAAAGCGTTTACATCGGGATTCAACTATATTAGTTATCAAAGTGTTGTTAATTAATGTATTATATAATACAGTAATACATGTAAATTATACAATTTAAAAAGTCATTACATCTCGAAATTGTATGAGACCAAGCTCTCCTAATTCCGCCACTGTTGGCTGTGCAGTTTCTGACGGAATATAGAGTTGAATGAGTGACATCTCTTCTGAGCGAAAGAGACTTGAATAAGGCATTTTGAATTTGCTCTTTAAATTTGTTTTAATTTGTTTTAATTTTATTGTATAGTTTGTAAAACATGATTGGATCTATCTATACCAATATTAATACTAATATAATCTTGTGATCACAACAGTTGAACATCTAAAAAAATCAAGTTTTCCTTATCTGGATATTGTTCTTGCTTTTTCTTGGACATAATTAAAACTTGAAAGATTTTTTTCTTATTTTTTTTAATCAACCCATTATATCCACACATATAAAATACTGGTGCAAATGCTAATATAGCTGATATTGGCTCAATTATCGCTACCAATATGACCATCAACAGATATTACTCCTAATGGTGATACACAAAAAATGAAAAAAAACGAAGCTATTACAATTTCGTCTAAAAGAAAATTTCAAAGTTTAATTACTCTAACTAATTATGACATTGTTTCATTCATATTTACCCTTATTCGCATTTTTCAATTTAGCCGTGACTACCATCATATTTCATCAGATCTACCAAGAGTAATGTAAAATATTTTTTTTGATTTGTAACCTAAGTCAATAATATGGAGTGATGAACTTTATGTTTGGCGAAAGAGATGGGTGACGTTACGGTATTGAAAATCTTGCTCCGTCGGTAAAACATGGCGGTGGAGATGATGTTTTTCTGGTAAATGGCTGATCAGTAGAGGGAAGATAAATACATTAGGGTTTTAGAGGAGAATTTGTTACCTTTAATCGCAAATGAATTTGATAATTGGGATTATTATTTTCAAGATGACAATGTGCCAGTTCACAATGTAAAAACTGTTTAAGATTGGATCGAGGAAAAAAATATCTGATTAGCCTTCACAATCACCTGACCTCAATCCAACCGAATGTCTTTGGGACGAGTTAGAAACGCGATAAAACAAAGTAACACATCTAAAAAATACTTTGGGGTTGGAAGTTGCATTGAAAGAGGCATGAGCACAAATTCCATTAGAAAAAATCAATAAACCTATTGAAAGCATGACGAAAAGTGACCAACTAGATACTGATTTTTTTATTTTAGAGTTAATATATTATACTAACATTAACTGATTATAATAATTTGCTGATTTTTATATATAATATATAATATTTTAATAGAGTAACGTAAGAAAAAATTGACACAAAATTTGTGTTCCCTAATAAATTATATAATAATTTGTTTGACCCTATTACGTTTGACATGGCAAATTTTAATTTCTCCACAACAACATGCATGACATCAACAAAAATGAAGATGTAGCTTTGTAGAGAAGGGCTTAGCTTCAAAATTATATCTTGTTATTTGGTCATGCATTTTCATTTTGGAGAAGTTAAAAGGTCTCCAAGACCAATAAAGCATAGTAAATTGGTTGCAGATCATTAAAAAATGATCAACATAACCAACAAAACATAAGTTACAGTGAATGTTTTTGGAATAAAAAGTAGGTGATAAACTGGACTTCGATTGGATCTCAATTGGATCTCCAACTTAGAGAGGTGAAAACTATACGCTAGTGAAGTTCGAGGAAAACAGGCTCTGTGTAGCATATTGGATGAAACAAATTTCCACTTATGCTGACCAATAAAAGTTGTAGGGACTAAGTGTCTTTACTGTAATTGATTTTATTATTTGATTTACTCTATGTTTGTGATTATACTCATGTTTAATGCCTAAGTTAATATCCTTATTATTATTAACAAAGAAAAATCTTGATTATGACACTATTTATCCACAGAGAAATGTCACTCACTTACTAATAAAAGTCAAAACTCGGTATGGTGCCAATCATCTAAACACATCTGCATCATTGGTGAAATTTTCTATGAAAATCATTCCTTTTATGGAACGCGATTTTTAACAATTTTTTAACTCAAATCTATTTCTTTATTTTTTTTTTGTTTAAATGCCCAAACAGAATAAAAGAAATTAATATTTACAAAAGCTTGTGAAACTAAAAAATGAAAGAAACTATTAAACCCATTACAGATGAATATATTGATAAGGAGGTGTTTGAAAATGAATCCCAGATTGACACAAACATTTTGAATGAATTAGATGTAAATGAACCTGGATTAGAAATCGAAGAGTCAATCTACTATTTAAAGAATATTTTCACAATATAAAGAAGTATCACGTGATACTCGTGACTCATGAAATTCCACTAAAACAGATTCGGGAACTCTTCTATGAGAGTGATACTTTTTAACTGCAAAAATAGCAGCTTTACCAAAAAGCCACATCCTATAGGCACTCATAACATATAACATCTTCTTGCAAAATTGCAAATTTTACAGAGAGAAATAGAATTAAGAGCCAATGACACAGTTTGTTGTAAACCTTCCCAAGATTCTAATTCTATAGTTAAAGATAAATCTCTCCAGTCATCATCAGATTCAATGTATTCAAGTAATGATCAGTGGTGAAAAATTTTTTTTTAATAGTTTTAATAGTAAAAATGACAAACTTTAAACCATTATAACTCTTTTCATTTTAATAAAATTCTCTATTGCATCTTCCCTTATGTCTTATAGAATAAAACTGTAGAGAGTCTTGTATGGTCATTGAGCTTATATATTTTAAAGTTTAGCCAAAATTTTGGTGTCTTTAGATGATCAGCACCATAGTGGTCAGAAAAAGCTATTAATATTGACTCTTATTAATATATGACTCAGTTGAATTTTTGTATTCATGTAACACAATATGAATGAGGCAGTAGAAAGAATATCTGTAGAGAAAAGATTCTAATAATGCCACTATGACTACAAAAAAAATGAAAATTCTGTCTTTCTAATCTTATCAATACAAACTTCATTTGTTTACAATGTTCTTAGACCTTTGACAAAAGCCTTACAGTACTTGAGCATCTCAAGTTTCTTTGAGAAAGACTAGATTTGATTTTGTTGCAATCAGTTATATCTATAACATTAATTTGTCTTTCTTATGTAAGTAGGTATTGTTAATTACTGTATCATCTTTTATCCATTTATTTTTAATAAAGTGGTGTGTTCTTTTTCAACATATACATGTTATATTCTTGATTAGGCATTTATGGGAAAAATTTTGATGGTTATTATTGGCAAGTCAATTTGTTAATGTAAATTTACATATCCACTGTAATATTAATACAGTAATGTGTGTGTTTTTTGCATTTTCCATTACATAAAAGTAAATTACAACAAAAAACAAACCTAATATTTTTTCCATGTATTATTTAAGAATATATTAAAAAATTTTATCCACCTCTTTTTTTATTAAAATAAGTGACTCCAAACTTTTGCTATGAAGAGGGGTGAATTATTATTATTTGATTGATACCACAAAATAAACAGAACTGTTTTACATTATTCAACACTTTCACATCTTGGACTAGTTTGATTTAATTCATAATGCATTTAACATGACTTTGTTGACAAATTATCTTTACATTTTTTTAATATGCATCCAAGTTTATTAGTGGACTTTTACTTTACATCAATTTTTCTATGGGCAATTGCATGATTTCAAAGAAATTGCATGCGCATCTCTAGTTACAAGCAACAAGTTTATTTGGTGCACAATATTGGTTATCTGCTGGTGGTTTCTTTTTTTCAAGATAAAGTTAAAAACACAAAAATGTGTATTTTTAAAATCCCAATTGAAATATAACAGTAGAACATATTTTTACTTAGCATACGAGGCTTTTTAAATGTGAACAAAATCAAAATCAAAGATCATTTTTCACAAAGATGATGTGTCAGTTTTGCATAGTTTGTACATGGATAAACAAATTTAATATTAATTGAATAAAGGAAGATATTGAATTATCATTTATAACCGTAAAGGGAAATTTCTTTTAAATGGTTGGTGAGACTGAAATTGATAGATCTTGTGTTTTGTGTGTTGTAAGGGTAAAAGCATTTTGTAAGAATTATGTTTTGGAAACAAACAAATCATTTAAATGATATTTTTAATATATTATAAAAACAAAAAGTTAATGTGTAACTTTTACTTACTATTTTTCCTATTTAAATTCTTGTCTATCTTGAGAATCATTACCTCGTAACTCTGAGAATAGAATGATCTGTGTTCATTTGTTTATATAATAAAAATAACTAGTAATAATAAGTTTGATATCCCGGATCTGCATAACAAATTTCTATCGTTGATTGGCGGACCACCAATTAAGAAGTTTGATCGACAAACGATTGGGGGGTTTTTTTTTTGGTATAATAAACAATTTATTTTTTAACAATGACATGTTGTTGTTTGGTACTTGCCTGAAGACGTGTTAATAACTGACCAGAAGTACTTTTTTTTTAATTTGCATTGATATATCTTTTATTTATACAAGTATTTTAATTGAAATCAAAACGCGGAGCAGATCTTTTCTAGGTAATAAGATCCTCATCAAGATGGTAAATAATTGGTATTTGCTTTTCGTAATCAGTAAATAATATTAATATTATTATAAATATATATTTACATGTCAAGGCAGCATACCTTTGAAAAAGAAACATTTCGTGTATACAAGGACAAGGTTTGATTACCACATATGTCAGGGGTGATATGTCAGGATTAAGATGTTTGATTACCAAAATATGTTGGGAGTAAGATATGTGAGGGTTAAGGTATGGGCTTAGAGTCATACCTTAACCTTGACATGTCTTACCCCCGACATATCTTACCCCAGGCATTAAAGCACGCACACTGTCTTGGACACTACAGTCATTCTCACGTTCCTCATTTACACAAGGCTAATCTCACCGAGATACTCTCAAAGGGATAGAACGATGCAAACAGAGTTCCGTTCATCGACCAATAGTCAACGATGTTTTCACTAATCTTCCCTCACAGCACCTAAACCAGAGAAGATCAATGCCTCACACGAGATGTAATGAGGTCAACTATTATTGAAAGATAATAATAATATTGATGACAATGACAATGGCGATTTTCTTGGTATAAAAGGTAATAATGTTTATTATTTTGTTCACTCTTATGCTGTATCATATTCTGACTCACTTCTGGAATGGACTTTTTCAACAACTCAATATGGATCAGAGGGTTTCATAAGTTCAATTCAGAAAGATAATATATTCTGCACACAACTTCATCCAGAAAAAAGCGACAAAATTTGATTAAAGATGCTAAAAAGTTTTTTGGAAAAAGATTTTAGTCCTATCAACAACAATTCCAATAAAAATTATTCTACAACTAATTAAAACATCAAAAAGAATTATCGCTTGCTTAGATGTTAGAACAAACGATCAAGGAATTCAGTTATCACCAAAGGTGATCAATATGATGTAAGGGAAAGTATTAATAATGACAATAACGCTATTGACGTTAATAATAACATAAAAGTGACGCGTAAAATAAGAAATTTTGGTAAGCCTGTTGACTTGGCACGTAGATATTTGAAGAAAGAGCAGATGAAATTGCTTTTTTAACATCATATAGAAATTTCCCATTATCAGATTTAACCAACGTTGGAGATTTTACGTAAAAATCAGAATCAGTTTTTGTACCTTTAACAATTGGTGGTAAAGTATCAATTAGTAGTGATGCTGTTTATGCTATAGAAAAATATTTGAATAATGGATGGTAGTACAGCAATTGAATTGATATCAAAAAATTATGGATAACAGACAGTTGTGATTTTAGTTGACCTAAAAAAAGTTTATGTCGAGTCCAGAAGAAACTACGCATCATATGACCAAAACAAAGTATCCGGGTCCAAATAAAGAGATATGGTGTTGGTATCAGTGTACGGTAAAAGGTGGTAATGTTTATCAGTTGGCTACTATTTGTGAAATAATGGGAGCAGGAGGTACAAATTCAGGTATGATTTGGAATTGATGGAAGATGTTAAAAAAAAGTGTAAAGGTTCCTACATTAAAGAAAGAAATTTTTTGAATAAATGATTTTAACATTTATAAATTATAATTTGCAACTCATTCATTATCCACATTCCTATAAAGATGTCATAAAGTTTTAACAATTCCTTGACTTTTTCAACAAGTGGATTTAAAAGCTTCAATGAAATTCATTACCGGCTCCACTTGAAGCAATGATATGCACTATATTAAAATATAATATATATCAGTTACAATATTTTAGATTTTTTAACTTGGGTACCTATTTATAAAGTTTTATGACAAACTTTGGTCTAAAATTGACGTCTGCAGCTGGTTGCAACTTTTATTAGATAGGCATTACTATTGATTTTTGGTGTCTTCACTTTTGCTTGATTGAATTTTGTTAAATTAACTAAAACCCAGTACAAGTCTTACGCAGATAATCTACAATAAAGTGTCTTGGGTATAAGCTACAACGTTGCAAATTACTCTTGTTGTGTTCCTTTAACGGGCTCCGTTTACATATCTGTCAAATGACAATTTTACAAGGTGTGCATTTAAAAGTCTTTTGATCGCCAAAGTTATGTTTGATGGCTCCACAACAACCACAAGTTTTACTAGTATATTCCTCAGTGCAGATGACCCTTGCACCAAGAATACTCGCAGGATTTATGGAGTAAATGTTGTTTAAATTGGTAATGTGACCAGGTCATCATTTGTCTTGCAGTTTTAGATCTGATTTTCTAAAGCCGCCATCTTTTTTAACCATGTCTTATGTTTTAAATTCAAGAGTAAACTTAACGAAGATGTTTTATTTTTTATTATTGCTAATTTATGATGGCATTCATCTACAATTTTTCTGTGGATTCAGAGCATACATCATCGATGGAGCTTATATCATTTGCGCTTATTTGCCTTACCATGAATAGAATCCCTCTCACTTTGGATTTTATCATGATGACATTTATTCTATTCATGTCACTTTTTCCCCATTCTATAGCCTCACAACTTGGCTCTCACTCATGGATCAAAGAGAAACGACGGCAGCATCTCTATTCTCTTCAACTGCTGAAAATTTAGGAGCTTGGTTATCAGCCTTAATTTCAAGTAGTAACTATGATGATTAATGGTAGGATGGAATTCATGATTTATTTTTCCTGGTATTTTCTCACCTGATTTAATATCGTTGAGGAATGAAAATTCACATCTTTTCTTCCCCGTTCTCTTGATAGAATGGGTTTGACATATTTTGTCTTTTTTAGATATTCAATTTGAAAATTTTCTTTTTTTGTAGCAATGTTTGATTTGTAATCATTCAAAAGTACATTCAATGTTGTATCTCTAATACAATGAGAACTCATTTGATGTTAAAATCATTGTATGTAATTTTTCAGATTTAATGATATAACTTTGTTCATAACTATGCTTTAGATTTATTTTTCCTATCTGAATTGATTGCAGCCAAACATTGATTGTATGTCTACCGTACAGTACCAATCCATTTTAATATTTTTTGTTTATCAGGGCAAAGTCTGATTTTAAGTGCTTTCAGTGCTGAAGATGATGAAATTGAATTTTCGTCTATAAATTACATCTTTAAATTTCTCCCATGTTCTATCTGGTAAAATAAAAGATTATTTAAAATACCTCTCTATGTGTTGGCTTAGCTGAGCCAACCGTGATAGTGATATCAACCGGTAGAAAAGCTAAGCCGTTTAAAATTCCTTAGCCGGCTTAGCCAATTTTTTCCTCAGCCGGCTGAAATCATTAAATGTGATCCATAACCCAAGAGCTAATCTTTTTAAATTCCATTGACTTGTCTTTTGAGGGTAACCAACATTAGTTTGTAAATTCATCCCAGAAGGGTAGAAGTTGGTCGTGATGACGAGTCACAGCAAACAGAGGAAGATTGCATATAATTTTAAATTTATTTTGTGATTAATAAAGTAAAGGATTTTACTATTCCTAATTATAAAGAAGGATTTATTCTCGTGATTAATAAAAAGTAATTTATTATATTTTGTGTATAACTTTTATATATGTGGGGTGATTTCTGGAAAAATGTGGTCAAAATTGATAATATACATCTATATTGTAAAGATTACAACTGGTGAGGAAATCAGACCATGTTTGCTTAACATAATAATGATAATTTTGAGGGACCATTACTCAAAAAAATTTATTATGTTCCTAAACCACATTTTGTCAGAAATCACCCCATATATATCTGATTTTTTTATCAACTAATATAGTATTTAATTGTGATCGCGCGAAAAAAGGAAATTTCGCGCAATCGTTAAATGCGCAGTGATTTTTTTACACTTTTAACAAAAAGTTCATTGAAATAAAAGTGGAAATGATCAGCCAAAAATTTACCTAAATTACATTCATCAATCTTAGCAGCGGGCCAAGAAAGTATTTGTTCTTTTTAATTTTACTTGGATTAGTACTAAGCCATTTTTCCGACTCTTTTAATATGACCGACTCTATATTGTGTTGCTAATTCACCATTTTCTGGTTAAGGTTTATTTCTTTTTATTCTTTTAATAGACAAATTTCTCTTTTTTGTTCGGCTGATGATTGTTCTTGTGACATTTTTAATTAATAATTAATAGGATCTTTAAAATGTTCAAAGCAACAGAAGATTTGTTATTAATACTGTTTAGAATAATATTATATTATTAATCATGATGTATTAGTATGTCATTCAATTGTTGTCGATCTATAATAATAATCACGTGAATTCGTTGAAACACGATTATTATTATATTATTATTATATTAAAAAAAATCCCTTACCAAAAAATTCGTTGTCGCTGTAACATGATTTATTATTATTATAAATATTTGGTGAAACAAGTTTTTATTAGAAAAATCCTTAAAACAAAAATTTAGCTGTAACAAGATTCGTTGAAACAAAGTTAACGAATAAATATTTTTGCTTGCATGAAATTTCCAAATCAATCAATAATCAAAGGATATGAGAAAAGGCTTCAACTCCTTTACCATTATAAATAATAATTCAATACCTTCCTTTATCCCATTAATATTAAATTTATTTAAAAATAAAGGGAAAGTTGTGTTTGTTTCAATTTACTATTAACAAAAATCCTCAAATCTTTCCTTATTTCTATTTAAAAAACTGTGGTGTTTACCAATTATATAAATTTTTTTCGTCACCCTACCACAAAGCATATACACATAATGTCGATCAACAAGATATTTTTTTTGGTGATCGATAAAGTAACTTTCGTAATGTAACTAATCAATCTATGAAAAAGAGAGATATCATTCTCGTTTTCGCATACATTTCCTCTAGGTTATGGGCACAGAAAGCCTTTTATTTTCATTATAATAAAAATAAATTTTACGTATTGAGCAATCTGTCCATTTTTGATCACGGGTTTTTCATCACCGGCTGTACCTCTATGCTTAAGAGCTTTTAACAGATCCATGTGAATTGGCGTCTCCAGATGCAATCACAGTGTTTCCTAATTATTTTTTTGTAAACTTAGCGCAAAATTGTGGGGAGGTTTTTGTTCCACTATAACCGTTTCTGTCTTCTTTACTCGGAATAAAAATCTAGACCTTCTTGAAGATATAATTAAGGTATTGTTGTATGCGTGGACCATATATGCTAGCCATAATTGCTCCTTTTGATAAATGACCATTGCTGAATCCGAAATTCTGAAATAGTTTTTCATAGTACATACTAGGTCCACCAAGTTGACTAAGACAACAAAATCAACCAAGTTGACGAGATAGTACTCGATGAGAAATTATGACTCAAATTCCATGTAACTTTTCTTGAACAAAAGAAAATAACAACAAGTTTTGACTTGAGAAATAATTAAATAATACTTAAAACTGTTTGCTAGTAAATAAATATCCTATTCAGTTTGATCCCTATCATTATTTCAAATTAAAATTATCGTACAACACTGGAGGTGCGTAGATCATCATATAATGTTGATCAATAAGTAATTTTTTTGAAAATTTGAATGCAATTAGTACTAGTCAGTGAAAAAGAGATAGTTGTAGTATGCTTTTATTTTTTAACAGATATATTTTTGGGGAACAAATGCCGGTGCAACCATTACAAGGTCAAGGGTGTGAGTCAACGAAGTCTACAGGGGTAGCGTCATGAAATGCTGTACGAGTGTACTAACCTGCTTTGTCGCATAATATTAACATATCAATGGAATCATGACTTAAATACTTTGAAATATCCTTAAAAAATTCCTTGAATTGGCTATTAATATTATGCCAATAAAAAAGGCCAGGGGCGTTTCGAAGAGCGTTCGTTTACTGATGATAGATAGCAGATCTCCCGTAGTATTAGTGTAACCTTGTTAAACGTCATATATGTAGCTTGTCACGAGGATCGTTTTTAGCATAATTATCATGGGAAATTTTCGTATTAATGTTTCTTCCAACCTTAAATTTTTATAAGTTTTAATTTCGTAAAAAAAAAAAAAATAATAATTATAATACCGTCGTGATAATTTTTAATGAACATGTGATGTTGATTATTAAGGTTAGTTTTTCAATTATTATTGATCTGCAAAGTAAGTGTACGGGAGAGCATGATTTTAATACGCGTGTTATCGACTTTTTCTTTTGAAAATAATGAATGAACATATATATATAGAAATCAATTGGTTGATTTTAAAATTAACGTGCATGAAAAAGAAAAAGAAAGACTACAAAGAAGAAGAAAAAGAAGAGGAAGAAGATTAATGGTAATTGTTGTAATACGTGTATTATGCTATTACATTTATTGAATTACTATTGGGTCAACACAAAAACTTGGTGACAAAAGAGGCTATTTTTATATATCAATGTATATGAAAATATATTTTATACAAACAAACAAACACCATTACCGTTATTATAATAATTAATTAATCAACATAAGAAATTTGATTCATCACGAATAAAATTTCTTCTCCCAAAAAAAGAAATAAAATTACTTTTGTACGGAAAAAATTATATTAATTGAGAAAAAGAAAAGGCAAAAGGTTTCGAATTCGTTTCCAGAAGAATAAGAAACAATAATTATAAATAAAGAGTGTGACACTGAAATCTTTGCATGTTTTCCGTTTTTCGTTTTTATTGTTTTTTTTTTTTTTAATTCGTAACACTCTTGCTCAAGGGTTTTTTTTTTTAATTAATAATAAGTTGCACATTTTATTTACTTAATAAGATAAAAGTATTTCCTTTTATGTATTGGTTATTCTTATTTTTCCAAAAAACAAAAAAAATTTTTGGGGTTAGATTTTATTTTATTTTATTATTTATTAAACCCTTTTTTTTTTTAAAAAACAATTTCTTTCTTCTTTTTTTTCCTTCTTTGAAAAAAAAAATTTTAAAATTGAATTAAAAACTAAAGAAAATTTTTATTAATATTAAAACTATAAATAATAGCGATAATAAAATTGACAATAAATATAAATATAAAATATTATAAATATTATTATTGCTTATTATTATTATCACCTACTACTACGCCAAAATAGAGAATGACATTTTTTTAATTTTAAAAATCTTTATTACTTTATAATAATAATCAACCACTACCACAACAAATCACCCCAAAAACCATCATCGCAACCACATCATTCTCAAACAATACCAAAAACAATATTGTTAAAATCGCGACTTCGAGAAAAAAAAGGGGAGAAAAAGAACAACAAAAACAAGATAAAAAATATTATTATTCAATTACCACCGAAATTATGAATTTTATAAATAACGATATTTCAAATTTTAAAAATACAAAAAATAAAAAAAAAATAAAAACCAACAACAGTTCAATAACAAAATTTAAAATTAAATATAACAACAGCAGTAATAATCAATCTTCAATAAAGTCATTATCACATTTTTCTCCCCCAACAACAATGTCTTCTCCCACAATACCACAATTTCCTTCAACATCAATATCTTTACCGTCATCGCCTTCATTTAAGAATCATAAATTATTAATTTCCCCACTTGAGATATCATCACTAACACCTTTAAATCTCAAAGAAACTAAAAATGATGATAACAATAACAATAATAATAATAAAAATAACAACAACAATAACAACAACAGAAACAATAACAACAAAAACAACAACAACAGAAACAACAACAACAATAATAATAATTCAAATCAAAAACAAAAAAATCATGATAATTCACATACGGAACCAAATCCTAAAAATAATAATAATAATAATAATAGCAACAAAAACAATAATAATTATAATAATAATAAACCATCGTCGTTGTCGTCCCCTTCACATTTTAGAAAAAACAAAGGTGAAAGAATAGCAAAAAAACTTAAATTACCAATTTCAGGGCCTGCGACAAGACTTCGGAATAATGTAAATAAAATTGAATTTCAAGAAGAATATGAAAAGTTTGAATTGGCAAATAATAGACCAGTAAAAATTATTAAAGATGAAAGGTATTATTTAAAAAGAGCTGCTCCAATACCTGATTTAATAGCGTCATCGTCATCATCATCGTCGTCATCATCAACAGGAAAAAATAATTCAAAAAGATTAAAAACTGAAAATGCTTTTTCCTTTTTTTTAACAACGCCATCACCTGTACCACCGACCACATCAACACCAATAACGTCTTTAACAGCATCTTCCACCCTTAACACCTCTTCATCTTCACCACCGTCATCTTTACCATCAGAAGATTCATTTACACCTAGATTAGAAGTTTTATCGAAATGGTCATTAAGGCAACAAAAAATTTTTTTGGCTACATATATGAAAAATGATAAAGATTTTGATTTAATTAAAAAAAATTTAAATGACACGAAAACGTCAAAAGAAATAATTGAATTTTATTATTTAGTAAAACATTTACCAAAATTTAAATCAGCAAAAGAAATAAAACAAGATTTCGACTCTTATAATGAAAAATTAAAGAATATTACTCATTTTAATAAAAATATTATTTCTACTTTGTTTAAAAAAGATGACAAGAATGATAATACTAGTAATATTAATGGTAATATTAATACTAAAAGGAGGAAGAAAAGAAAAGGAAGAACAAAAAGTTTCATCTAATTTAAATATCATTTTATATTATACTATTTATATATGTATATGTGTATAGTAATGACGCGTTTATTATATCTCATGTTTATATTTTATCTTTTACTTACTATATAAATAAATACATTATACAAGTATATTTATTATGTGTCATTTCTTTTGCACGTAATTTGTTTGCCGCGCATAGTTCGATAAATGAATAGATGATGATTTAAAGTGTTACAAGAGGACTTCGGACAAATTATATTTGAACTGGTATTAACAAAAATAGGCATAGTTGGCATAGTAGAACTAAAAGACCTGGTGTGAAATTTCAGGTTATTTTTTTAACTGGGATGATGAATATATAAATGAGAAAATCATTCTGTTACATTGTTTGTGCTAAACTCAAGAGAAAAAATCTCTTTGCCATTCATTTGTTAGAGAAATTATTGATGAATTTATGTAATATGGTTGAAATTAATGGAGAAATTTTCAAGTTTAGATATTAGAGATGGATAATTTAAATTTGGATCTATAGGAAGTGATTTGAATTCTACAAATTTAGTTTTTATGACAATTTATATGCTCCACTATACAATCAAGAAGTACCTCATTGGGCTTGTATTTCAAAAAAAAACATCATTTATAGTAGACATTGAAACATCTCAGATCGATTTATTGATTCGTCAATTATTAATTGCATATGAAATTATTATAAACGATGGGATTCTATATATTTCTACATCTCCGATATGTTCTGCACAAAAAAAAAGGATTTGCATTTGCTTTAATAGATTCAAAATTTTATTTAGTAAAGTTCTTGGCTTTCATTTTATATTAATCAACCTATTACAGATATAGACAAGACACGATTAGTTGTGTATTGTATTTTTGTAACTTGTTTACAAGCTAGTATGAGGAAAGAAAATTTTTATTTAGCCATTTATCATCAAAACAAATATTATAGATTACTTTGTATTATTAATAATGATGATGATAATAAAAAAAACTGCATTGATTTTTGGGGTTGGAACCTACAACTTTTTATTATTATATTAATATTGGTATGTTCTATTGCTAAAAGTCCCATTACAAGTAGGCGGGGAAATGTGGAAAAAAACTTGATGCAAATACTAATACTACATTATTATCTCGGTACGCCCACTGCATTTTATGTTTGTCTGCCATATTTATATATATTGTTGCACCACGACAAAGTGAACAGATTTCAGGGTTCAAAATTGATGATTTTTAAAAGAATTAATTTCTATATATCATCACAATTGTTTTTGTTTTTTTTAACATCAAAATTGTGTTACCAATATAGTGTGGTCATACAGGACCCCGAACAATCTTAGTATATAGATGGTACATTTGAGGTTTAATAGTAAATCACCTTTTCTCTACCCACTTTTTTTAGAAAATTATACCCAGATTTA